AAGCCTGTAATCCCAGCACTTTGGGAGGCTGAGGCCGATGGATCACAAGGACGAGAGATCGAGACCATCCTGGTCAACATGGTGAAACCCCATCTCTACTAAAAATACAAAAATTTAGCTGGGCATGGTGGTGCGTGCCTGTAATCCCAGCTACTCAGGAGGCTGAGGCAGGAGAATTGCCTGAACCCAGGAGGCGGAGGTTGTGGTGAGCCAAGATCGTGCCATTGCACTCCAGCCTGGGTAACAAGAGCGAAACTCTGTCTCCAAAAAAAAAAAAAAAAAAAAAAAAGCCGGGCACGGTGGTTCAAGCCTGTAATCCCAGCACTTTGGGAGGCCGAGGTGGGTGGATCACGAGGTCAAGAGATCGAGACCATCCTGGTCAACAAGGTGAAACCCCGTCTCTACTAAAAATACAAAAAAAATCAGCTGGGCATGATGGCGCGTGCCTGTAATCCCAGCTACTCAGGAGGCTGAGGCAGGAGAATTGCCTGAACCCAGGAGGCAGAGGTTGTGGTGAGCCGAGATCGCGCCATTGCACTCCAGCCTGGGTAACAAGAGCGAAACTCTGTCTCCAAAAAAAAAAAAAAAAAGCCGGGCACGATGGTTCAAGCCTGTAATCCCAGCACTTTGGGAGGCCGAGGTGGGTGGATCACGAGGTCCAGAGATCGAGACCGCCGGGCGCGGTGGCTCAAGCCTGTAATCCCAGCACTTTGGGAGGCCGAGGCGGGTGGATCACGAGGTCAAAAGATCGAGACCATCCTGGTCAACATGGTGAAACCCCGTCTCTACTAAAAATACAAAAAATTAGCTGGGCATGGTGGCACGTGCCTGTAATCCCAGCTACTCAGGAGGCTGAGGCAGGAGAATTGCTTGAACCCAGGAGGCAGAGGTTGCGGTGAGCTGAGATCGTGCCATTGCACTCCAGCCTGGGTAACAAGCGCGAAACTTCATCTCAAAAAAAAAAAAAAAAAAAAATTGGGGCCAGGCACAGTGGTTCACACCTGTAATCCCAATACTTTCGTACGCTGAGGTGTTCGAGACCAGCCTGGCCAACATAGCAAAACCCTGTCTGTACTAAAAATACAAAAACAATTTGGGTGTGATGATGCACACCTGTAGTCCCAGCTACTTGAGAGGCTGAGGTTGCTGTGAGCGAGACTGTGCCACTGCACTCCACCCTGGCAACAGAGCAAGACTGTCTCAAGTAAATTAAAATGAATAATGAAAAAATGACAACAAAATTGAAGGCCAGACATAGTGCCTCACATCTGTAATCGCAGCACTTTGAGAGTCCAATGTGGGAGGATCTCTAGTCTAGGAGTTCAAGACCAGCCTCGGCAACATGGCAAAACCCCATCTCTACAAAAATAATTAGCCAGGCAAAGTTAGCCATGCACCTGTAGTCCCAGCTACGTGGCAGGTGGAGGCAGCAGAATCTTTTGAACCTGGAATGTTGAAGCTGCAGTAAGCTATGCTGGCACCACAGCACTCTGCCTGGGCAACGCAAAAAAAAAAAAAAAAAAAGGAAAAAAAATGTCCTCCAACAAAAAAAAAAACACTTGCTAAACAGAGTAAAGAAACGTTATAGAAGAATGAGGAAAATTGCAACATGTCTTCGTTACTAAAAAGTTATTCTGCACTGTTTTTATTTTTTTAAAAATATAAACTGATCTTAAAAAAAGTAAGAAAAACATATGAACAGGTATTTTACCAACAAAGAAGGCACACAGGTTGCAAATAAAAACACTTTAAAATGCTCACTATCATGAAGTTTTAGGAAAGTGCAACGAAAACTACAGTGAGATACCACTACTCCTATATTAAAAGAGCTAAAATTTAAAAAGAGTGGCCACATGAAGCACTGGTAGGGATGTAGAGGAACGGGAATTCTTACAAATCCTTGGTGGGAATAAAATAGGAAACATCCGTTTAGTTCAAAGTTTGGTATTTCTTTTTTTTTTTTGAGACAGAGTTTCGCTCTTGTTACCCAGGCTGGAGTGCAATGGCGTGATCTCGGCTCACCACAACCTCTGCCTCCTGGGTTCAGGCAATTCTCCTGCCTCAGCCTCCTGAGCAGCTGGGATTACAGGCACCAGCCACCATGCCCAGCTAATGTTTTGTATTTTTATTTTGATTTATTTTTTTTTTAATTTTTATTTATTTATTTATTTATTTATTTATTTTAGACAGAGTTTCGCTCTTGTTACCCAGGCTGGAGTGCAATGGCGTGATCTCGGCTCACCGCAACCTCCGCCTCCTGGGTTCAAGCAATTCTCCTGCCTCAGCCTCCTGACTAGCTGGGATTACAGGCAAGCGCCACCATGCCCAGCTACTTTTTTGTGTGTTTTGGTAGAGACGGGGTTTCACCATGTTGACCAGGATGGTCTCGATCTCTCGACCTCATGATCCATCTGCCTCGACCTCCCAAAGTGCTGGGATTACAGGCTTGAGCCACCACGCCCGGCTTCGTATTTCTTAAAATGTTAAACATTCACCTACACTGTAATTCAGATATTACAGTTTCAGTTATTAAAACAAGGAAAATAAAACATACCCATAAAAAGAACTGAATACAAGTACTTACAGCAGCTTTATTCGTAATATACTAAAATCTATAAATAAATGTCCATAAACACATAAACAGTGACTTATCCATAGAAAAGCATAATGCTCAGCAACACAAACATTCATCATTGTGGAATCTCAAAATAATTATACAGCAAGAAAACCAGAAAGAATATATATATATAAATATCTCATTGAAAAATTCTAGAAAATGCAAACTAATTTACTATAAAGGAAATCAGTTGATCCCCGAAGAGCTAGGGAAGGCAGAGGGAGATTATAAAAGGATATAAGGAAAATATATAGGTGAGACATAAATTCATTTTCATGGTTGTAATGATGGTTTCATGTTTACCAAAGTGTACATTTTGGATACCTGTACTTTGTTGCATGTCAGTTGTAAAAATTAGAGCTTCATAAAGCTTTAAAAAGTGGTTCAAAATTAAGAGCCTAGATGCTGCACCTTTTTTTTTTGGAAAATCAGGTTGGCAACCTGATATGGACTCCACCATCTCTCTCTCTTTCTCTCTCTCCCCCCACCATGTCCTGAGAGAGGCAACCTTGCCCCAAAAGCAGCAAATTTTGGCAAGCAATGAAGGCTGTTGCCACCTGAATTAATAGGAATGTTGGCTGAGTCACAAAAGCCATATCCCTGGACTGCAGAATGATCCTTCTCTCTATTCTTGTTCTCCTACCTGCACAGCAATGGCCTTGAGGTAAACAGTCGAGAGAGGATGCAAGGAGCCACAAGATCTTTAGACTATTTTCTGACAATGATCTCAGCTATAAGAAATGGTTACGAGGAGCCGGGCGCGGTGGCTCAAGCCTGTAATCCCAGCACTTTGGGAGGCTGAGGTGGGTGGATCACGAGGTCGAGAGATCGAGACCATCCTGGTCAACATGGTGAAACCCCGTCTCTACTAAAAATACAAAAAATTAGCTGGGCATGGTGGCGCGTGCCTGTAATCCCAGCTACTCAGGAGGCTGAGGCAGGAGAATTGCCTGAACCCAGGAGGCGGAGGTTGCAGTGAGCTGAGATCTAGCCATTGCACTCCAGCCTGGGTAAGGAGAGCTAAACTCTGTCTCAAAAAAAAAAAGAAAGAAAGAAAGAAAGAAAGAAAGAAAGAAAGAAATGGTTACAAAGGTCCTGAGAATTTCTGTACGCACTTGTCCCACACAGCTATATTCACTGAAAAATTGGTAGATGAACTTTTAGAAGAGGCATTCCCTCTAATTTACTGCAGTCTTCTCCACTTCCCATTTACCAAGAGTTTCAGTCCCAATTCCAGTTGTGTCTGGAATTTAACCTCTATATCTATAGCCTGAAAACAAATGGAACCAGCCTACACTGACTTCTATGTCATGGTACACGGCTCCTCTGCAGGACCTGGGGAACAGATTCCACTCAATGGTGCCAGGAATTATGTGGTATTTCTTGGGAACAAGTGAACAAAATTCATGGTCACAGAAGCACTGGGGATTGTCACAACTGCCTCCTTTTCATGGTAACCTCTGACCTGACAAAAATGGCACCAGACCACAATACAGGAACACAAAGCCTGGAAGTCTTTGAGGCCTTGGACAGCAGGCCAAGTAGACCAATAAAGGACAAAGACCTGTCTTCTGCCATCACACTGTCCCTTTTGTGCACAAAAAGTGGACAAAATCTGTCCACCCCTTTGTGCTGACATCACTATTCTGCCATCATATTGTCCCTTCTGAGCAAAGAAAGTGGACAAAACATGTCCACCCCTTCATGCTGACATCATTATTCTGCTTATAAGCATTCTATACAGTGAATAGAACCCCCAAGATTAAAGATGCATAAATTTTTTTTTTTTTTAAGACAGAGTTTCACTCGTTACCCAGGCTGCAGTGCAATGGCGCGATCTCGGCTCACCGCAACCTCCGCCTCCTGGGTTCAGGCAATTCTCCTGCCTCAGCCTTCTGAGTAGCTCGGATTACAGGCCTGTGCCACCATGCCCAGCTACTTTTTTGTATTTTTAGTAGAGACAAGGTTTCACCATGTTGACCAGGATGGTCTCAATCTCTTGACCTTGTGATCCATCTGCCTCGGCCTCCCAAAGTGCTGGGATTACAGGCTTGAGCCACCATGCCCGGCCCAGATGCATAAATTTTCTAAAACTTTTTTTTTTCCTTTGAAATAGAGTTTTACTCTTGTTGCCCAGGCTGGAGGGCAATGACATGATCTCGGCTCACTGCAACCTCCACCTCCTGGGTTCAAGTGGGAGGCTGTCTTAGCCTCCCGAGTAGTTGGAATTAAAAGTGCCTTCCATCATGCCGGTCTAATTCTGTATTCTTAGTAGAGATGGGTTTAACCACATTGGCCAGGCTCGTCTTGAACTCCTTGCCTCAGGTGATCTCCCCACCTCTGCCTCGCAAAGTGCTGGGATTACAGGCCTAAGCCACTGTGCCTGGCCTTTTTACAACCTTTACAAAAAGATTATAAATCAGAGCAATGTACACCAAGTAGTTTCCAAATTGGTGAATCAGAAGATGGAAAAATTCATTACAAGCATCATGTGAAAAGAACAGCGTCCCTAAAAAAAGTAATCCTTCTTAGAATGCAGACAGCGCAACTCACATTGACTCCTCTAGACCAAAAATGGGACAGGTCTATACTCTAAAGTCAGAGAAAGGACATGAGGACCCCCTACTTGCTTGACCTATTAATAATTTCCCCAAGCAAATGGGAGAATACAGAGGTTTGCTTCCTTGAGCACTGTAGGGCACTGACTCATGCACATGACGTGCACCTGCCAGGTGGCAGAGGTGAAATGGCTTCAGTCTCAGAAATAGGCAGTGACATCAATCAGGCTATGGCCCTGCGCAGATTACAAATTACAATGAACCACCTCAAAGCTTCCCACATACCTGAAGCTTACACAGAATCCCCCATTGTAGATGATCAAAGTTTAAATTTAGGAGGATGGCTCCCAGTCTCCTCCAGTGCTATTATACTGAATAAAGAAATAGCACCTTCCCTTGACATTTAAGGCCTTTCTTCAGTGTGAACTTTCTGATGTCGAATGAGGTTAGATTTGCGGCTAAAGGATTTCTCACATTCACTGCATTCATAAGGCCTTTCTCCAGTGTGAACTCTTTGGTGCTGAATAAGGTCAGATTTGTGGGTAAAGGGTTTCCTACATTCACTGCACTCATAAGGTCTTTCTCCAGTGTGACCTCTCTGGTGCTGAATGAGGCTAGAGCTCTGGCTAAAGGACTTCCCACATTCGCTACATCCATAAGGTCTTTCTCCAGTGTGAACCCTCTGGTGTTGAATGAGGCTAGCACTTTGGCTAAAGGACTTTCCACATTCACTACACTCATAAGGCCTTTCTCCAGTATGAAGTCTTCGGTGCTGAATCAGGCCAGAGCGCTGTCTGAAAGATTTGCCGCATTCACTGCACTCATAAGGTCTTGTGCCAGTATGAATCCTCCTGTGTTGAATGAGGTCAGATTTGCGGGTAAAAGATTTTCCACATTCATTGCATTCATAAGGCCTTTCTCCAGTGTGAACTCTTTGGTGTTGAATCAGAATAAATTTGCGGCTAAATGATTTCTCACATTCACTGCACTCATAAGGCCTATCACCAGTGTGAATGCTGCGGTGTCGAATAAGGTTAGAGAATTGCCTAAAGGATTTCCCACATTCGCGGCACTCATAAGGTCTTTCTCCACTGTGAATTCTCTGGTGTTGAATGAGTTCTGATTTGCAGCTAAAAGCTTTCCCACAATCACTGCACTGATAAGGCATTTCTCCAGTGTGAACTCTTCTGTGTCGAATGAGATTGAAGATTTGTCTAAAGGATTTCCCACATTCACAGCACTGATAAGGCCTTTCTCCAGAGTGAACTCTCTGGTGTCGGAAAAGGCTAGAGCTTTGTCTAAAGGATTTCCCGCACTCACCACATTCATAAGGTCTTTCTCCAGTGTGAACTCTCTGGTGTTCAATGAGGTTAGATTTGTAGCTAAACGTTTTCCTACATTCACCACACTCATAACGCACTCCTCCGGTGTGACGTCTCTGGTGGTTAATAAATTCAGATTTATGGATAAAGGCTTTCACATGATTGCTGCATTCATAAGGCCCTTCTCCAGTGTGAACTATCTTAGGCAAGTTTAGGTGGCACTTTTTGCTAAAGGATTCCCCACATTCATTACACTCAAATGTCTTTGGTCCAGTGTGAATTTGTTCGTGCTGAACAAGTGTGTTCTTGCAGGTGAAGGCTTTCTCACATTTGCTACACTCATAAAGCCCTTCTTCAGAGCAGACACTCTGAGGCTGAACAAGTGTGTGTTTGTGGCTTGAAGCTTTTTTGCATTCACCCCACTGGTAACAACTTTTTGCCCCATAAAATGCCTGTATATGCTTGCTGCTGCTACTGTGTGGCTCCTCACCACTAGGAGTGGCTTGGTGTTGGAGAAGGTCCATGGAGGCTGGCAAGTCCTCCCCACAGGTAAAATAATTCAACACATGGAATCTGCAGCCTGTCACAAATGTAGCCCCATCCACATTCCTTTTCCAGGGTTCTTCTTCATTGTTATGCTTTTGGTGCCGGCGAAGGTCAGCACTGAAACAGAAGCCTCTCACAGCTGTGCCACCCAAGTACGACTTTTGCACAGGCGAAGTGGTTTGGTGCTCAGCCTCAGGCAAAATGTCTTTCAAGACTGGGACACACACCTTAACCTCACTGAGGTGAGTTTTCTGGGTGGGTGTATCCCTCTTAGAAGTCCTGACCTGTAACTTTCCTCCTACAGATACACTCTGCTCAGAAGCTATCGCCTCATTGTCTGTCCCATGGCAATAACCTGAAAGCAGAGAAATACTGATGAAATGCACGGCGACTTTCACGAAAGGGGAAAGATATATCACAAAAAGGTGTGAGACACAAGAACTGAGTACATGGAGCTGTTATGAGAACAAGGGAACTGGGGAGGAATAGTCTGCTTTGAAGTACTGAGCTTTTGGAGATTATAGAGGAGACGTTATCTCATCACAAGAAGGACACAAGAATGAGGTAGGCACAGCACGGAAAGAGGAGGAGGAGGAGCATCTCCAACTCACTCTCTGCCAAAGCCCTCAGCAGGACTTTGCTAGTGATGTTTGTGCTGTGCAGTAGGCTGCTGTTGTCCAGTCCTAGGTAAATCCAATTGAAACTGGGTAGTTGGTGATCAAGGAGGCCTATTTGAGGCTGTGTGCATACTTCATAACACAGCGAGTGTAGACTCAAGAACACTGAAAAGAAGTGAGCTATGGAAAGGAACAAGTGACATACTGAGACCACGAGGGCGGAGGTAGCCAAATGCTGGAAGTGATGATATAACAATTCAGCACAGTATTAACTATAGGGAAGTAGAAGTAGAAATGAGGTATGGCCAGTGGCACTTGCATGAAAATGCTGCTGGGCACATTGCAGGTTCCTGATATGATTCTAATACAACCATGATGTCATGCCCTTCCACAGCTGCCGCTCACCAAGGCTAGACCTCCTCTGAGACCATCTTGCCTTGTTTACTCTGTGAGGCAACTAAGGCACTCTTTGCAGCCCTCATTGTGTTACCACATAACACATGAATGATTTAAGTTGTAAGGAAAGAGAGGACAGGGTAGTAACCAATATTCACAGACACATACAAAAACACACACACACACACCCCCACTCAACGGAAGGTCTCGTAAAAAGAGCTCCATAGTTGAGCTAAGGACTAACCATGACAATGCCTGCAATTGCTCATATAGGTGGCATAAGGAAATGGCAGCTAGAGGAAAAACGCAGAAGGTACCATGGGCCACAAGGTATTATGAATCTGTACATGGTCATCCTGACAGGGAGAAGACAAGAAAGATAAGATCCACTAGGCTGACAGCAAGACTCCTGAGACAGAGATAACGCTGGGGTCAAAAACTAACGCAGAGACTGTTCAGAACACTGGGAGGGATGCTAGGACCTTACCCAGGGAGGTTACATGTGCAAAGTTCTCCAGCATCACATCGCAGTACAGGAACCTCTGAGCCTCATCAAGGAGCTCCCACTCTTCTTGGGAGAAATAAATGGCCACATCCTCAAAGGTTATACCCTGTCATAGCAGGAACAGTTCAATCCACGATCAGACTTGGAGTTCATTATCCTCTCGCCCCCAATAGCCATCCCCAGGTCACCCTATTGCCCACCTCAGAGGAGATAACCAGCCATGGTGCCACCGATACCTACTCTCTCCCCACAGTTCCACTGATACCAAGTCCTTGAATAGCAACAATAGGCATGTGGACAGATAGATGCTCCCTAAGCTCTGGGTCTGGCAGGTAGGATATACCTCTCATTACAAACACCGGTTAGGGAGAAGTGGCCACAGAGAGGGTGTGAGTGATCTGACATTTGTCTTGTCAGGCAATATCCCTGAAGTCACCAAGATTCATCCTCCAAGACACAAGTAACATGGGCTCACCCTTTACCCTTATGACTCCAGTTCACCCACAAGGCCCTCTGTTTATTCTCTCTCTTCTCATGCACATCACTCTTTGAACCACACCTGTCTCACACAGCTGCATTCCCACAGCCACAACCTCAGAGGTCACATAACTTTTCCACAATGAGGACAGTTCATTCTATGATCAGTATCTCTCCTAGGACCCCAAATTCATACCCGCTGCACCTATCACTGTTGATCTTCCTCTCCATCTTCTCATTTGAAAGAATAAGAAAGGGGGCGGGCACGGTGGCTTAAGCCTGTAATCCCAGCACTTTGGGAGGCTGAGGTGGGTGGATCACGAGGTCAAGAGATCTAGACCATCCTGGTCAACATGGTGAAACCCCGTGTCTACTAAAAAATACAAAAAATTAGCTGGGCATGGTGGCACGTGCCTGTAATCCCAGCTACTCACAAGGCTGAGGCAGGAGAATTGCCTGAACCCAGGAGGCAGAGGTTGCGGTGAGCCGCGATCACGCCATTGCACTCCAGCCTGGGTAACAAGAGTGAAACTCCATCTCAAAAAATAAAAATAAAAATAAAAATAAAAAAAAGAAAGAATAAGAAAGGAGCCAGTGACAGGGATGCCCCCTCTCTCCTCATGGTCCAATTGGTCATTTTGTTTTCCCACAGCAAAAACAGGCAGGTGGGTAAATATCTAAGATCTGAGCCTGCCATGCAAGGAACCACACACACTCTTGTATGGAAACTCTCCTGGAAGATCAAAGACCATGGCTCCCAAACACAAACAAAAGTCTAGGGTCGTACTTCACCCTTGTGTCCTAAACACCAAGGGACGACCACTTCACATTCTTGTCTCCACATACACATCACTCTACCACACCTCTCTCACAGTGCCACTCCCTCAGCCACAGCTTATTCCCTGCCTCACACCATGAGCATCTCCTTGGTCTCCCCACTGGTTAGTCAGCACATGGGGCCCAGAGAGTGGCCAGCAAATTCAAACACAATTCAGTCCTATCCCAGATTTCTAACTGCACCTAAAGTTAGGGGCAGCCTCAAGTTATACAAGGAAGGCCTCTACCTGACTGTTCCTTGCTTCAACCTCACCCACTAAGCATCACCTGTGGATCTCAGATAACCAAGGCTTTTTCCACTTCTGAGCTGTGAGTGCTGTCTCCCCACCAATCAAACCCTTCCTCTCTTCAAGTACCACTATTTCAAGGTCCAACCTCAGTGACTACCCCAGGCCCAGTGAGCACCACAGATATGCCCCTAAGCTAATGTGACAGCCTGACTGAAACTCCCCAGATCCCACCAAGAGTTAATATAAAATCCTGCTGAGTCTGCAGAGAGGTGAATAAGCACCGGCCCTAGCATCATCCTGTCTGTGTAACTCCTATACCTCTACATCCATCTCATGTCTACTCACCCCTGAGAAGTCTTGGCCACATGCAGATCATAATCTCTCTCCAACCCTCCCAATGGACCCTTCTCTCCAAGATCTGTTTTGCAACACCTCACACAAGCAGGGGCTGATGCAGGGGACCAGTCCTTGACCTTCGCCTCCCATTCCTGGGCAGTATCATTGTTACCATTGTGAGCAGGCTTCCCCCCTACTAAATGTGATCCAGAGCTCCACCCTGGCCCACAGACTGTCCACTACCTTTTGGAAAAGTCTCCATTCTGAATACCTCCTCACTGTTCCTGACCTATGGTTCCAGCAGCCCATGAACAATTCTCTGAAAACTCTCAAACTCCTAACCGGTCAAAAATAAAACTTCTGATATCCCAAAAGGTAACTACTCCTACTGGGCTGGGCGCGGTAGCTCACACCTGTAATCCCAGCACTTTGGGAGGCTGAGGCGGGCAGATTACGAGGTCAAGAGATCGAGATCATCCTGGCCAACATGGTGAAACCCCGTCTCTACTAAAAAAAAAAAATAAAAATACAAAAATTAGCCTGGCATGGTGGCATGCGCCTGAAGTCCCAGCTACTCGGGAGGCTGAGGCAGGAGAAATGCTTGAACCCAGGAGGTGGAGATTGCAGTGAGCCGAGATTGCGCCACTAGACTCCAGCCTGGTGCCTGGCGACAAAGCGAGACTCTGTCTCAAGAAAAAAAAAGAAAACTACTCCTACTATGGACTCCCCATCTTATGTGATGGAGCTTCCACCCTTTTAACTGCCAAAATAAAAACTTTGAGTCATCCCTGACTCCTCACTTATGGTCAAAATTTAAAAAATCCAGGCAGCCCTACTTTTTTTTTTTTTTTTGAGACAGAGTTTCACTCTTGTTACCCAAGCCGGAGTGCAATGGCACGATCTCGGCTCACCGCAACCTCCGCCTCCTGGGTTCAGGCAATTCTCCTGCCTCAGCCTCCTGAGTAGCTGGGAATACAGGCATGTGCCACCATGCCCAGCTAATTTTTTTCTATTTTTAGTAGAGACGGGGTTTCACCATGTTGACCAGGATGGTCTTGATCTCTTGACCTCGTGATCCACCCGCCTCAGCCTCCCAAAGTGCTGAGATTACAGGCTTGAGCCACCAAGCCCGGCCTCAGCCCTACTTAAATAATGGATCCAGAAGGCCAGGCGCAGGGGCTCACACCTGTAATCCCAGCAATTTCGGGGTCCGAGGCGGGTGGATCACAAGGTCAGGAATTCAACAACAGCCTGGCCAATATGGTGCAACCCCATCTCTACTCAAAATAAAAAATTAGCTGGGCACAATGACGGCTTCCTGTAGGCCTAGCTTCTCAGGAGTCTGAGGTGGGAGAATCATTTGAACCTGGGAGGCAGAGGTTGCAACCAGCCGAGATCGTGCCACTGCATTGCAGCCAGGAGGACAGAGCGAGACTCCATCTCAAAAATAAATAAATAAATAAAAATAAAAATAAAATCCAGAATGCAACGACTTCTCACATCTTCTCAGCCATTGTAATGGCCCAGCTACTATCACATTCACTTGGACTATCCCAGTAGTCTCCTCTCAGGTCTTCCCCCTCATCCTTCATTCGGTTTCCCATGCTGCAGCCACAGAGCGCCTAAAAGACCTGAACCAGATCACCTCCCTCTTCCACTCCAAACCTCTTATTGTTTCTTTCTTTTTTTTTTTTTTGGATACGGAATCTCGCTCTGTCACCCAGGCTGGAGTGCAGTGGTGTGATCTTAGCTCACTGCAACCTCCGCCTCCCAGGTTCAAGCGATTCTCCTGCCTCAGCCTCCTGAGTAGCTGGGATTACAGGCGTGCGCCATCACGTCCAGTCAATTTTTGTATTTTTAGTAGAGACGGGGTTTCACCATGTTGGTCAGGCTGAACTGGAACTCCTGACCTCCTGATCCGCCTGCCTCGGCCTCCCAAAATGCTGCGATTCCAGGCATGAGTCACCGTGCCCAGTCTATTGTTACTATTAAGAAACGAGCCGGGCGCGGTGGCTCAAGCCTGTAATTCCAGCACTTTGGGAGGCCGAGGCGGGTGGATCACGAGGTCAAGAGATCGAGACCATCCCGGTCAACATAGTGAAACCCCGTCTCTACTAAAAATACAAAAAATTAGCTGGGCATGGTGGCACGTGCCTGTAATCCCAGCTACTCAGGAGGCTGAGACAGGAGAATTGCCTGAACCCAGGAGGCGGAGGTTGCGGTGAGCCGAAATCGCGCCATTGCACTCCAGCCTGGGTAACAAGAGCAAAACTCTGTCTCAAAAAAAAAAAAAAAAAAAAAGAAACGAATACACACTCAACTTTTCAGGGAACTATTCTGACTTCTACCACATTGCTCCCTGATCTCATGAGAAGAAAAGAATTGTCGGTTCCTGAACTATCTCAGCCTCCTCTCCAAACCTTCGCATATACTGATAACTATGCCTTGGACAACCTTCTACATCTCCAGCTGCCAACAACGTCGTATAATCTGACTTGGACTTAGGACTCTGGGCTTTGTATCTGCTCAATGTCCCAGGACCCAAGGCTACTAAAAGAGTGGTGGGAGAGACTGTAATGGGTGAATTGAGGACCAGTCACACACACCACTCCCCAGTTAGGCTCCATAAGCGATTCTATAGTTATGGGAATCTACAGAAACAGAAAAGCCACGAGAGTCAGGAACCACCACTAGGCTCCCCAGACTCGGTGGAAAAAGCGATTTTTGGAGCCAGGTGGCCTGGGCTGGCTGCACTCTCTCTGCACCTGAGTCCTCAGTGCTGACTTTACCAGCTGTGTGAGCTTGGACGAGAACTCAATCTTCCTGTGTCTAACATCACCTCTCTTCAGCCTGTTCTTCCCCTGAGCAATGTTCGGAAAGCTTTAGGAGATCCTAGCCCAGTGTCCCTATCTGTTCACAAATCTTCAAGGCTGCCAGTTTCCTCAGAATGGTCAAATTCCTCAGGTGCAATTCTGTCTCATTCTATGCCCCTGCAGACACGAAATGGGTCCCAGGCTCCTGAATCCCCCCAGCTTAACTGCAACCTCAAGCTCTGCACGCGCCAGTGCCCTTGCCCGTCACATTTCCTTACACACTGGGCGTCATAAACGGGCCTCACCCACAAGCGCCTTCCTTACCCGGGCACTAGGGCCTGGGCTGCAGGGCTGCGAGCAGACGCCCCTCCTGGGCTTTAGGACATTTGTCGTGAGAGGGCAGGGGACCCGAGGACGCAGCACTCACCCGAGCCGGGTCCCTCAGCGTGAATGCCGCCATTGAGTTCTGTCGACCAGGCGGGGAGCGGCGGGCGAACGGGGCAGGCATTCCAACACAGCGGTCCCTATCCTGGGCTTGGCACAGCTCACCCGGCGTGGCGTCGCCGAGCCTCAGACTTATTTCCGCGCCTTCTCTGTCATGTACCTCATCCTCTACCCCCGCTGCGGACGTTCTACGGAGGTGAACGACAGGAAAGCAGCCAAAAGGACCGCCACGAGGAAGACACCGGAAGTTTCGCTCCGTCGTGTACTAAAGCACGAAAGTGCCCCTATCCTGGTCATTGGCTCAACTCCGCCGCCGTTTAGCGCTTTGCAGTCTGGGTAATGTAGTTTCCAAAATGCCACCTATCTCTTCTGAGTACTTTGCCTTTTTTTTTTTTTTTTAAAAAAAGATGAGCCGGGCGCGGTGGCTCAAGCCTGTAATCCCAGCACTTTGGGAGGCCGAGGCGGGTGGATCACGAGGTCAAAAGATCGAGACCAGCCTGGTCAACATGGTGAAACCCCGTCTCTACTAAAAATACAAAAAATTAGCTGGGCATGGTGGTGTGTGCCTGTAATCCCAGCTACTCAGGAGGCTGAGGCAGGAGAATTGCCTGAACCCAGGAGGCGGAGGTTGCGGTGAGCCGAGATCGTGCCATTGCACTCCAGCCTGGGTTAACAAGAGCGAAACTCCATCTCAAAAAAAAAATAAAAAAAATAAAATAAAATAAAAAAGATGTTTATTATAACTTCTAAAGCAGGAATTAATAATTTTTTTATGCTGGCAACTCTGATTTTCTTTCTTTCTTTTTACAGGTTTAAACAAGCCAAGACTTTTTTTTTTTTTTTTTTTTTTTTTTTTTTTTTTTTTTTAGACAAGAATCTCACTCTGTCGCCCAGGCTGGAGAGAGCAGTAGTGCGATCTCGGCTAACTGCAACCTCCGTCTCCCGGGTTCAAGCGATTCTCCTGCCTCAGTGTCGGAGTAGCTGGGATTACCGGCACACGCCACCACACCCGGGTAATTTTTTTGTATTTTTAGTAGAGATTGGTGGGGGTTGGTCTTAAACCCCTGACTTCAAGTGATCCACCCACCTCAGTCTCCCAAAGTGCTGTAATTACAGGCGTGAGCTACCTCGCCGAGCCTCAAGCGCAGACTTTTTAACATACATATATATATGTATTTTTTTTTTTTTTTGAGACGGAGTTTCGCTCTTGTTACCCAGGCTGGAGTGAAATGGCGCGATCTCGGCTCACCGCAACCTCCGCCTCCTGGGTTCAAGCAATTCTCCTGCCTCAGCCTCCTGAGTAGCTGGGATTACAGGCACGTGCCACCATGCCCAGCTAATTTTTAGTATTTTTAGTAGAGACGGGGTTTCACCATGTTGACCAGGATGGTCTCGATCTCTCGACCTCGTGATCCACCCGCCTCGGCCTCCCAAAGTGCTGGGATTACAGGCTTGAGCCACCGCGCCTGGCTAACATACATATATTATGTAGAGATGAAGTATGGGTTTTTAGTGTACGCATCATCTTAATAGTGAACATTGTACCCAACAGGTAATAATTTTTCAACCCTCATCCCCCTCCCAACTGGGATTAAGAAAAATTTTAAAATAACTAAAACATTAAGACAGGTGATAAAATGGAATAATAAATTGCTCAATTACAATAGGATAACAGCCATGCATGGTGGCTCATGCCTGTAATCCCAGCACTTTAAGGGGGGCCAAGGCAGGTGGATCACTTGAGGTCAGGACTTTGAGACCAGCCTGCCCAACATGGTGAACCCCATTTCTTTTTTTTTTTTTGAGACGGAGTTTCGCTCTTGTTACCCAGGCTGGAGTGCAATGGCGCGATCTCGGCTCACCGCAACCTCCGCCTCCTGGGTTCAGGCAATTCTCCTGCCTCAGCCTCCTGAGTAGCTGGGATTACAGGCACACACCACCATGCCCAGCTCATGTTTTGTATTTTCAGTAGAGACGGGGTTTCACCATGTTGACCAGGATGGTCTCGATCTCTTGACCTTGTGATCCACTCGTCTCGGCCTCCCAAAGTGCTGGGATTACAGGCTTGAGCCACCGCGCCCGGCGTTGAACCCCATTTCTACTAAAAATACAAAAACATTTTGGGCATGGTAGCACACACCTGTAATTCCAGTTACAGTGTATTCAGGAGACTAAGACAGGAGAATCGCTCGATTTCAGGAGGCAGAAGTTACAGTGAGCTGAGCCAATGGACTCCAGCCTGTGTGACAGAGTTAGACTCCATCTCAAAAAAAAAAAAAAAAAAAAAAAAAAGAGATACACAAAACAATGCAATGGAACAGAGAACCCAGGAATAAACCCAAGTATATACAGTTAAATAATTTTTGACAAGGTCTCAAAAAAAAAAATTACAACAGGATAAGATAAGAATAAAGGGGCAAGGGGAGGAACAAACAAATGCAGTGAATAGAAAACATTTACAAACATAGGCTAACTATATCAATATCAATACTCATTTTAAATGTGAATGGTTCAAACAGACCAATGAAAAGGCAAAGGTTGTCACAGTGGATAAGTGCAAGATGTAATGAAATCTCAAAAAAATCCACTGTAGGCCAGGCGCAGTGGTTCATGCCTGTAATCCCAGCACTTTGGGAGGCCAAGGCGGCGGATCAAATCAGAAGGTCACGAGATCAAGACTATCCTGACCAACATGGTGAAACCCCGTTTGAACTAAAAATACAAAAATTAGCTGGGCATGGTGGTGCATGCCTGTAGTCCCAGCTACTCAGGAGGCTGAGGCAGAATAGCTTCAACCTGGGAGGCAGAGGTTGCAGTGAGCCGAGATCGTGCCACTGCACTCCAGCCTGGTGACAGAGCAAGACTCTGTCTCAAAAAAGAAAAAAAAATAATAAATCTAATTTAAAGACTCAGGGGCCAGCGCAGTGGCTCACGCCTGTAATCTCAGCACTTTGGGGGGCCAAGGCGGGTGGATCATGAGGTCAAGAGATCAAGACCATCCTGGTCAACATGGTGAAACCCTGTCTCGACTAAAAATACAAAAAATCAGCTGGGCGTGGTGGCGCGTGCCTGTAATCCCAGCTAGTCAGGAGGCTGAGGCAGGAGAATTGCCTGAAATCGGGAGGCGGAGGTTGCGGTGAGCCGAGATCGCGCCATTGCACTCCAGCCTGGGTAAAAAGAGCGAAACTCCGTCTCAAAAAAAAAAAAAAAAAAAAAAAAAAAAAGACTCAGATGGACAAAAATAAGTAATGTATACTATGATGACACTAATCAAAAGAACTCTTGAATGCCCATATTAATTTCAGAAAAGGAAGGTTTTTTCCTTTTAAAACTTTTTTTTTTTTTTTTTTTTTTTTTTTTTTTTTTGACGGTGTTTCGCCCTTGTTACCCAGGCTGGAGTGCAATGGCGCAATCTCGGCTCACCGCAACCTCCGCTACCTGGGTTCAGGCAATTCTCCTGCCTCAGCCTCCTGAGTAGCTCGGATTACAGGCACGTGCCACCATGCCCAGCTAATTTTTTTTACTTTTAGTAGAGACGGGGTTTCACCATGTTGACCAGGATGGTCTCGATCTCTCGACCTCGTGATCCACCCGCCTGGGCCTCCCAAAGTGCTGGGATTACAGGCTTGAGCCACCGCGCAAGGAGATTTTTTGTATTTTTAGTAGAGATGGGGTTTCAACATTTTGACCAGGATGGTCTCGATCTCTTGACCTCGTGATCCACCCGCCTCGGCCTCCCAAAGTGCTGTGATTACAGGCTTGAGCCACCGTGCGCGGCCGCTTAAAACTTTTAATTAAAAAAATTTTTTTGGCCGGGTGCGGTGGCACAAGCCTGTAATCCCAGCACATTGGGAGGCCGAGGCGGGTGGATCACGAGGTCAGGAGATCAAGACCATCCTGGTCAACATGGTGAAACCCCGTCTCTACTAAAAATATTAAAAAATTAGCTGGGCATGGTGGTGCGTGCCTGTAATCCCAGCTACTCAGGAGGCTGAGGCAGGAGAACTGCCTGAACCCAGGAGGCGGAGGTTGCGGTGAGCCGAGATCGTGCAATTGCACTCCAGCCTGGGTAACAAGAGCGAAACTCCGTCTCAAAAAAAAAAAAAAAAAAAAGGACATGACACACCTGAATGCTATCAATACCGAATACTTTAATGGTTCACTCTTGAAATATAAATAAATCTCCTAAAGAGAATCACGGACTGTCTACTGCAAAGGGTAGGCCAGATTCATCTGGAATAAAGAATGCCAATTGCAATGATAAGTACGATGATCTTTTTGCTTCCCCCGGTACGGAGGCCTTGTCTTCTCTAGCTTAAGAGAGGAAACCAAGTACACAACACTCCGGGGACGAGGTCCGAAGCCCCACAGCACAGGAGCGCGAAGAAAGCGCCGTGTGGGAGTCCAGGCGTCTGCGCAGTGCCGGCCGACACTCGATCCCAGAAGGCAACGCGGCTGGATGGTGACGACTACAACTGCCAGAGGCCGTTAGAACGCCTGGCTCCGGAGGGACGTTTCGGGAGACCGCCGCTCTGGGTCACCGTGGTCCACTCAGACCTGCCGCCTCAGTTTACAGCCCAGCTTCCCTCGTCCGCCTGTCGGGGGACTCACATTCACCCACTTAGTCTCCACAATCCAGCTTATCAGGTGATCGCATATGCACCTGCGCAGAACTCGCCACCTACTTCAGCAACCAGAGAGCAATGCGCGCTGCGTAATGGACTACAAGTCCCAGAAGCCTCTGTTCCAACATTTTCATCCAGACACTTTAACCCAAGAGCCTGCAGTGGGAGGCTTTGCTATCAGTGAAGTCTGACTGTAATCACTGAAGGAGTGGGGATATAATCACTGATGTGCGGCGTTGGGTGGAGGCCAGGGGCTTATTGTTTATTTGTAATTGCAGGACCGATAAAACAACCAGCAAAGTCAGACTGGCAGTTGCTGTGTCATAGAGAACAGTAAGGTATGCATTAAGCCTGCACAATACAAACATAATGTCTATGCAGAGGGTGAGGAGAGAAAGAACTTTGTTTACCCCACCTTATCTTATAGGCTGACTCCAATAAACTGTACTAAGGATCTGTATATTAAAATCAAAGCATTAAGGCCCAGAGGGATGGCTCACTCTTGTAGTCCCAGCTACTCAGGAAGCTGAGGATGGGGGGTTGGCAGGTGTATCGCTTGGGCCTAGAAGTTGGAGACCACCCTGGGCAACATAGCAACATCCCGTCTCTACAAAAAATACAAAAATTAGTAGTGGTACTCACTTGTAGTTCCAGCTATTAAGGAGACTGAGATAGGAGGATCCCTTGAGGCTGAAGTGAGCTCTGATGGTACCATTGCTCTCCAGCCAGGGCAACAGAGCCAGATCCTGTCTGAAAAGAAAAAGCAATAGCCATATCTAGTGTTGGAGAAGACATGGACATTAAGTTTTTACCTTCTAATGGTGCCATAATACATTGAAAAACCACGTTGAAAAAGTTTCCCCTGCTTCATACAGATCTTTGCAAACAAAAATTCTCCTTCCTGTGGACCGAGAAGCGTATGTGAGAATGCTCACAATAGCAAAACACCCGGAGATGGTCGAGGAAAGAGGGTGAATGGACAGGCTTCTCTGCACAGTGCTACCTTATCTGCAGCAGCTGGACAGTTCTCTGTTCTAAGGCAGAAGCAACAGAATCAGAGAAGCATCATAATTTATGCTGCAGAATTCTCCCCTTCAATCCTTTAGGCCGTTTCTACATGGCACCCTCTAGTCTTGGATTGAACCCCAGTTGCCTAGTGAAAACCAACTCACACATGTATCCCCAAAAATCGACTAGCATATGCATTGCTATTCCAGCTTTGCCCAGAATTCTTTTTCTCCAAACTGACCTTTCAAACCGGTTCCAGAAATAAGCTCCCCTTTCTCACATCCCTACCATCTTGGAAAAAATTAATGGGGAAAAAGGACTTTTCTGGTAACCATCTGTCAATAAAATAACCATATGCAATTTTGAGTCACCATATTCAGCTCACGTTTAGCATTAATTTCTCATAAATTTTAAACATTATAATATCTTTTATATATCAAAGTTTGCTTTCGGCCGGGCGCGGTGGCTCAAACCTGTAATCCCAGCACTTCGGGAGGCCGAGGCGGGTGGATCACGAGGTCAAGAGATTGAGACCATCCTGGTCAACATGGCGAAACCCCATCTCTACTAAAAACACAAAACATTAGCTGGGCATGGTGGCGCGTGCCTGTAACCCCAGCTACTCAGGAGGCTGAGGCAGGAGAATTGCCTGAACCCAGGAAGCGGAGGTTGTGGTGAGCCGAGATCGCGCCATTGCACTCCAGCCTGGGTAACAAGAGTGAAACAACATCTCAAAAAAAAAAAAAAGAAAGTAAGTAAGTTTGCTTTCATCATCTAAGGCCTGCTTCCAGATTTCCACCCGTTTTGAGGTCCAAGTGGCTGCACCAGAGTTAAATGGTATGACGTAAGGACAAGGGATTAGGCAGGTAAAGCCTCACTGGAGCATGGTGAACTGGTGTTTGTGTCCTCAGGGATGGAACTTATTGCCTTCTAATTGGGCACATTGCTGGATTTTAAAGAATAATGCCAGGCACTGTGGCTAACACCTATAATCCCAGCATTTTAGGAGGCCATAGTGAGAGGACAGTTTGAGACAAGCCTGGGCAAAATAGCAAGATCCTGTCTTTACAAGGAAAATTAGCCAGGTGTGGTGGTGTGCTCCTGTAGCCCCAGCTAATTGGGAGGCTGAGGTGGGCGGATCACCTCAGCACCAGAGCTTGAGAGAGCCTGACCAAGATGGATAGACCCTGTTTCTAAGGCGGGCGCGGTGGTTCACGCCTGTAATCCCAGCACTTTGGGAGGCCGAGGTGAGGTGGGTGGATCACAAGATAAAGAGATCGAGACCGTCCTGGTCAACATGGTGAAACCCCGTCTCTACTAAAAATACAAAAAATTAGCTGGGCATGGTGGTGTGTGCCTGTAATCCCAGCTACTCAGGAGGCTGAGGCAGGAGAATTGCCTGAATCCAGGAGGCAGAGGTTGCGGTGAGCCGAGATCGCGCCATTGCACTCCAGCCTGGGTAACAAGAGCGAAACTCCGTCGCAAACAAAACAAACAAACAAACAAACAAAAAATCCTGTTTCTACTAAAAATACAAAATTAGCTGGGTGTGGTGGTGCATGACTGTAATCCCAGCTACTCGGGAGGCTCAGGCAGGAAAATCACTTGAACCCGGGAGATGAAGGTTGCAGTGAGCCCAGATGGTACCCCTGCACCCCAGCCTGGGCGACAGAGGGAGACTCTGTCAAAAAGGAGAAGAAAGAAGGAAGAAAGAAGCAGAAAGAAGAAATAATAATGTAATAAAGATAACATCCCTACCCGTGGATAAATTTCACGTCTGAATGGCTCTGTGGAATGATGTATACATTTAGACTGGCGGCCTTAGGGAGCGTCTCATAATAATTTTAGCCTCTGGGAGCCTGCTGAACTTTATGAAGTATGAAATAGTATTTCCCAAACACTTGGCTGATGAGTTGCAGATGGCGCCGCCGATCTGCTGTCTGATTCCTTCCCGTTCAAGAAAGGACGAAGCCCCTCCTCTGCCCTGGGACGTGGATAAGCCATTTCTCATCCCCCAGCACCCTGGAGCTTCGCCTTTTGAGGTTGGTGCAACGCACCCCCAGTCCCGACCTCAGGATGCAGGAAAACTACATTATCCAGAATGCTCTGCACTGAACGGCAGCACTGGTAAGCCAGTGAGAGCTCAGAAGACAGACTTTCCACGACAGTCACCAAAAAAAAAAAAAAAAAAAAAAGGACGAAAGGACGGGCCTTTTGGCGTCTGCATGGTGGCGGCCATTTTGGCTTCTCTGGGGTGTGCTGGCCGATCGCAGGGCGCCTGGCTGGGGCCGCGGAGGCGTGCGGGGAGCCGTCGTCCCTCCTGCCCTGAAGCATCTGAGCCTTGGTGACGCCGCCCTGGGCGACCCGCGCCGCGCTCGGCCCCTCCCCAGGTCGCCGCCGCCCCGGCCCGGCGCCACCCACGGTCTGATGGCGGCGGCTCGGGTGAGTGCTGCGCCTGCCCCCACCCACGCTCTAAAGCCCCCAGCGAGGGGCCCGCAGCCCGGGCTCGGGGACGCGGAGGCGCCCGCGCGTGGGCCTGTTTCCGACCCCACGTGTGACGCGGTGGGAACGGGCGCGGCGCAGCCGGGAGAATCCGGAAAGCTCTTTTCTCAGGGAACAGAAATGTGGGGGGACTTACTCGTCGGGTTGTGCCTTCGTTGTGAGGACGCGGGAAGCCACGGGGAGCTTAGAAGAAAGGAGGGAGGCCATTTATGTTAGCTTTTTTTTTCTTGGAGACGCAGTTTCTCTCTTGTCGCCCAGGCTGGAGCGCAATGGCGCGCTCTCGGGTCACTGCAACCTCCGCCTCCTGGGTTCAAGCAATTCTCCTGCCTCAGCCTCCCCGGTAGCTGGGATGACAAGCATGCGCCACGACTCCCGGCTAATTATTTTTAAGTTCCCAAATGGCTAAGTTCAGGGACAAATAAGTCCATGGGTTTCACCATTTGGGGACCAGTTGGGTCTCAAACTCCTGACCTTAAGTGACACGCCCGCCTCAGCCTCCCAAAGTGCCGGGATTACGGGCGTGAGCCACCGCGCCCGCCCTTCGTTAGGGTTTAAAATTTTTTCTCAAGACTGTTAGTAGGATGAGCTGCGATAGGGCGATGACGACACTAAGGTGGTGGGAGGCTGCATCTTTCGTTCACTGCCCTACAGCTGGTGAGAGGCGACGGTGGGCACGGAGGCATCGAAGTAAGACAGCCATCCTGAGTTCAGGGCCAGGGCGGGATACAGGAGGCTGAGCCCATTGAGCCTCATCAGGGATGCGCTCCTCTCTCCCTGGTTCTCCTGGTTATACAAGGGCATAGGGAACTCACATAGGAAAGTGGGGAGTGTTCCAGTCCCTCAGTAGGCCGCACCCCCACCCCCGCCCACATGTTCTTGGGATTGTGGTTTCCTAGTATGCTTAACTGCTGTTACCCCAATCCTGGGTCTGGTGCTCTGCTGAAATTCTAAGCCCAAGGTTCTAAGTCCATGCCAAGGGTTATCCCATTTTTAGCATCCAGTTGAAACGTCTGAAAGGTTACTTCTGGCGCTGGTATCAGAAGGGGCAAGTGCTTAGTAAACTAAGCTGAGATTTTTGAGGAAACCATAGATCTCTTTCCTTTTAGCTGGGAACAAAGAGGAGGGGGAAGGAGTTTGGACTGCAGTGGCTGCCTGAGAAGTTGGGTACCTATTCTGGAGGTAATGGGAGGTTTGGGTTAGAAAAAGGTGGTGGTATTACCAAAGTCCTAACAGGCTCCACCCTGTTAGCATGGAGAGCAGACTGTGGGGTTGAGGGAGGAGGAAAGGTCAGCATGGAAGCTACAGCCCATCCAGGTGGGGATTAATGGACCGCAGTCGTTAATTAGGAGATGTGTTGCATTCTGGATCCAAGTTTTTAAAGGGGGCAACTACATTTTCTGATGTAGATAGCGAGGGAGTGAAACAGGATTCAGCGATGACCCCCAGGTTCTTCAACTGAGATGGTGAAGTTGGTATTAACAGTAATATTCACTGGAGACATCAGGAGCTTTGATTTGGTCATGTAAGAGTTTGCAACGTTTCAGAGACATTAAGTAGGCATTAAGTAGGTGGCTGTTGAACACACAGGTCTTGAAATCCGGGGAGTACTTCAGAATGGAGATGTCCCAAGTGCTGGGATCACAGGCATGAGCCACTGTGCCCAGCCTATAAGGGCTAACCTTTAGGCATGGTGGTACAAATTATTTGGCCTGGAAGGGCAGAGTTGGGGGCAAAGGACCAAGCCTTTTGGTTGGATAACTGGGTGATGCTCTTGGACTTTATAAACACAGGTAAGGGTGGTTAGTGGCTACGGAGGTAGGGTAAGGTGTTAGGATGGCTGCGCAGGTGGCATACGCTTTGAAGGAAAGAGTGGATGTGAGGTGGATGCAGAGGCATAGATGTATTTGAGGCAAATGGCTGTCCTTTTTTCCCTTAGTGCTTATTCAGCACTTTGTGGAATCACTAGCATTTTTTGATGACTTTGATGGGGCCTGGGGTGTTTATTCCCCCTGGAAAATAAGTCCAGGGGCAAATACAGTCATCTGTGATGGTCACTTGGCCTAGGGTAGGTGATCAGTGGGGCTAGTCTTTGAGTGTTAAGTGGACAGAGGAAGGCTGTCACTGCTGAGGGGATAGCAAGTGCAGCACAGAAGTGGAATAGGGCCATGGGTGTCTGAGATGCACACGTGGTTCTGTGTGGCCTAAGTCTGAGGCAAAGAATGGAGCCAACCAGGGAGCCTTCACAGGATTTGGGGCTGCTACCAGTGGTGGATGCCCTGGGAGATGTAGGGTAGTATTAGATCCTGTCTGAATTTGTCAGGCATACTGTGGATGCTGTGTGCTAAGTTACAGTGTGAAGTCAAAATTAAGGCCCAAGATGACATCTGGTGAAATTAGGGTGACATCAAATGGCCTGATTACAAGTTTCCCTCCCTACTCTTCTCCCTATCAGACAACCCTTTTTATCAAGGGGACCAGGCATAATTTCTGCTTCTCCCTTTGTAGCAGATTTGAGCTCCCTACCAGGCCATGGACTTTTCCAAACAAGCCAATTGCAGGAACCAGGGGGCACCTGATCCTTTTGTTGGCAAAATGCTTGTATTCCACAGCTATTGGTTATTCACTTTTTTTGTGGACTATATCCCCCGTGACCCTATGTGGTACATATTGTTCTCATCTCCCAGGTTTTATTATATGATTAATCATCTTCCTAGTGTCAGGTATTGTGTGTGTGGCCATATCCATAACCCTAGTGTAGCAATCCTGCCTTCACTAATGGGATGAGGAGGAAGATATTAAAACAATAATTAGCTGGGCATGGTGGCGCATGCCTGTAATCCCAGCTACTCACGAGGCTGAGGCAGGAGAACTGCCTGAACCCAGGAGATGGAGGTTGCGGTGAGCCGAGATCGCACCATTGCACTCCAGCCTGGGTAACAAGAGCGAAACTCCGTCTCAAATAAAAAAAAAAAAAAAAAGATAAAACAATGACATGGGGGTTAAGAGCACGGAGATGTCTATGGTGTGGGCAGTGATGTGGCAGCCCTGGGCTTGGGCTATGGCATCTGAAGATAGGAGGGATGTGTATTCTGAAGAATGATGTACATCTGGAAAGGGAGTAAATGACAGCTGCAGGGCCCTGGTATTGTGACTTACATGACCTTGAACGTTCCAGGGGGATTTCATGATGAGATGGCACAGATCCTTCCATGCCAGGCCCCCAGCTTAGATACCTATTTATCCACATGTGATTGGGGCTGGTTTCTCCTCTGAGTTGGGAAGCTTGGGAAGAGAATGGGCCATGGGGTAAGGATGTGGGGGTGCGGATTGTGGGTGCTTGGGAGAAGGGCTCTTGGTGGTTTCATCTGTTCTTATTGTGGCAGGGCACTGTGACCTTTGAAGATGTGGCTGTTCACTTCTCCTGGGAGGAATGGGGTCTCCTTGATGAGGCTCAGAGATGCCTGTACCGTGATGTGATGCTGGAGAACTTGGCCCTTTTAACCTCCCTGGGTAAGGTTCTTTTACCCGTTCCTGTGCCCTGAGCTAGTCTGTGCCCTTCCTCTCTTCCCTATAGGCAGGTCTGTCCTTCTCATGATAAGAGTATAGGCTCTGCTTCTTTCTAATTTCCCTGCATAATTCTGTCACTGGTATGACTAAGGTTTGCATACCTTCCTCTACTCTCCCTGAGGTGCTGGGGCACCTGTTTCCCCACAGCCTCACAGGGAAGGATTCAGAGTCCGGAGTTTTACAGTCACCCTAGTGCATCTTATCTTTATTGTCCCCTCCATGACTGGGTGACTTTTTCCAGATTTCAGGATCCTGTGTGCCCGAGCTACTACTTCCATCCCATAGCTGGCATTTCATTATGCCTGCCTATGCCAGGGGTTATTATCACTGACATGGTCACTACTTATGTAGACCATGGACTCTTCTTACAAGCTCTTCCTCTGAAATTTTCTTTTTTTTTTTTTTTTTTGAGACGGAGTTTCGCTCGTTACCCAGACTGGAGTGCAATGGCGCGATCTCGGCTCACCGCAACCTCCATCTCCTGGGTTCAGGCAATTCTCCTGCCTCAGTCTCCTGAGTAGCTGGGATTACAGGCACGTGCCACCATGCCCAGCTAATTTTTGTATTTTTAGTAGAGACGGGGTTTCACCATGTTGACCAGGATGGTCTCGATCTCTTGACCTCGTGATCCACCCGCCTCAGCCTCCCAAAGTGCTGGGATTACAGGCATGAGCCACTGCGCCCGGCCTTTTTTTTTTTTTTTAAATAAAAGATGGTGTTTCACCGTATTGGTCAGGCTGGTCTTGAACTCCCGACCTCAGGTGATCCACCTGCCTTGGGCTCCAAAGTGCTTGGATTACAGACCTGAGCCACCACGCCCAGTCTTCCTCTGAAATTTTCTTTGTAATATTTGTGTGTGTGTGTTTCCTACAGGCTGTCATGTGCTGAGTTTTTTGTGGGACAGTGTAGGGTGGTTTTCTATTCTTTCTTCCCTTAGTACTTGCATTATCCAGATGCTATATTATAGCAGCAACCTATTCTGTTTGGCGAGCATTTTGGTGCCAATCCAGTGGTCACAGCATACTTGCCGTTTTCCTTCACCATTCTTGACATTTTGCTGACATGTCAGCTCTACTACTTGTCACTTCTGCTCTTAACATCCAGCCTGGGGCTAATACTTACATCTCTGGACTCCGTATCTTATCTGTTTTTCTCACTGCTATATCTGCATTTCTTTCCAATGTTGGCCTCTACATAGTGTGTCATGAGGTATGCACATTCTTTTTTTTTTTTTTTTGAGACGGAGTTTCACTCTATTGCCCAGGCTGGAGTGCAGTGGCGCAACATCAGCTCACTGCAACCTCTGCCACCCAGATTCAAGTGATTCTCCTGCCTCAGCCTCCTGAGTAGCTTGGATTACAGGCGCCTGCCACTGTGCCTGTCTAATTTTTGTACTTTTAGTAGAGATGGGGTTTTACCATCTTGGCCAGGCTGGTCTTGAACTCCTAACCTCGTGATCCACCTGCCTCGGCCTCCCAAAGTGCTGGGATTACAGGTGTGAGCCACGGCGCCTGGCCTTGCACATACTCTTAAACTGTCCTTGAAGGCCAGCTGCTGCATTGCAGTCATATTTCTTTGGGATTGCATTGCTATTCTACACAGCACTCATGTGATACCAGCATATAAGCCTCTGCTAAAGTTGTTTGCAGATGATTTAGTATTAGTCCCTGCTTCTCCTCTCTTTTCATACCTCATGGTTGTGGCCTTTACCTCTTGAGCTCTCCCACATTCTTGTAATCTTTATAGCCTAGTATTGCTAAGCAGGCTCATCTGGAACCTGAACCCAACTCTACTGCCATGAAAACATTCCCATAGACTTGTTCCTGGGTTTGTCATATACACACTTGTATAGGGGCTGCCCCCTCCCACTATAGTTAATGTGCACTTCACTAGTATTTCCTGCTTTTAGGTTGTCGGCATAGAGTGGTGGATGAGGAGGCATCTTCTGAGCAGAGCATTTCTTTAAAAGGAGTGACCCAACTCAGGACTTCCAAGGCAGGTCTTTCCCCCATGAAGGCCCAACCCTGTGAGATAGGTAGCCTGGTCTTGAGAGACATTTTGCTTTTGGCTGGGCCCTAGAGCACCCATCATAGGCAGAAATTATACAGGCGTGTGGCATGTAAGAAATAATTGTATTTCATTTCGTCGCAGATGTTCATTACCAGAAACAGCACCCTGGAGAAAAACATTTCGGAAGCAACGTGGACAGAGCCTTGTTTGTGAAGACCTGCATATTCCACGTGTTAGGGGAGACTTCCACATGCATAGAAGTTGGGAAGGACGTCCTGGCCAAGTTGGGATTTCTCCATCAACAGGACACTCACACTGGGGAGCAACCAAACAGCAGAAGCGGTGGTGGGGCTGTCAGTCACAAAGGAAAAACTCATGACAATTGTGGAGAATACATAAAAGCATTCAGCCGTAAACACTCACTTGTTCAGCAGCAGAGAACCCTCACTACAGAAAAGTGTTACGTGTGCAGTGAATGTGGGAAATCTTTTAGCAAAAGCTACAGCCTCAATGACCACTGGAGAGTTCACACTGGAGAAAAGCCTTATGAATGTCAAGAGTGTGGAAAGTCCTTTAGGCAAAGCTCTAGTCTCATTCAGCACCGGAGAGTTCACACCGCAGTACGGCCTCACGAATGTGGTGAATGTGGAAAATTATTTAGTAACAAGTCCAACCTCATTAAACATCGGAGAGTTCACACCGGGGAAAGGCCATATGAGTGCAGTGAATGTGGGAAATCCTTTAGCCAAAGGTCTGCACTCCTTCAGCATCGAGGAGTTCACACTGGGGAGAGGCCTTATGAGTGCAGTGAATGTGGGAAGTTCTTTACATATCATTCCAGTCTCATAAAGCACCAGAAAGTTCATAGTGGATCAAGACCTTATGAGTGCAGCAAATGTGGGAAGTCATTTAGCCAAAACTCTAGCCTCATTGAACACCATAGAGTTCACACTGGAGAAAGGCCTTATAAGTGCAGTGAATGTGGGAAATCCTTTAGCCAAAGGTCTGCACTCCTTCAGCATCGGGGAGTTCACACTGGGGAGAGGCCTTATGAGTGCAGTGAATGTGGGAAGTTCTTTCCCTACAGCTCCAGTCTCCGAAAACACCAGAGAGTTCACACTGGATCAAGGCCCTATGAGTGCAGTGAATGTGGGAAATCCTTTACTCAAAATTCTGGCCTCATTAAGCACAGGAGGGTTCACACTGGGGAGAAGCCTTATGAGTGCACTGAATGTGGGAAATCCTTTAGCCATAACTCCAGCCTTATTAAACACCGGAGAATTCATAGTCGATAAAAGCCTTATGAGTGGCAAATATGGAAAATCTGTTAGCACGCTGGAGAAAGTCCTTGAGTACAGTTAATGTTAGAAAGCTTCAGCTGAAGGCTGCATCTCACTGAGTACCACAGAGTTCACATGGGAAAGACACTTTTGATATGTGGAGATGTCCAGATGCTATAACAGCTCTGAGGGAGATCCCTTATGAGGGTGGCATCAACCTGAATTGAATCTCCTGAATCTGAACATCTGCATAAATTCCAGATATGTGGGAGCTGCATTGTACCTTTTGCCCTGCCCAGGGCCCATGCCAGATTTATGTCTGCTGATTCTGTAGTGAGAGCCATTTTACCTCTACTGCCTGGCAGGTGGTCACAGTGTACAACATTCCACAGTGTATTCAGGTAAGTAAACCTTGGTGTTCTCCCATTATGGGAGGAATTTGTAAATAGCCTAAGCATTTATTCTTTTCTTGTTTTTCTTTGTCTCTGATGAGTTAGGCAATGGACCTGATCCAGTTTGGCCCAGAGAACTCTGCAGCTGCCCTGAAAAGAGGGACTACCTATTTCAGGATATTGTTGGCCTCACATGACTCTTGATATAGTTTGCCAGCCTCCAAATCACCAACTGTGGGAGCCACCTGCCTCTTACTGCCCTGGTTTGTACAGTTATAAAGGCCTTACTAATCTTGGGGGTTCTAGTCAGTGTATTGGTTGGTTTGAAAACAGCTGGGTTCTGCTAACATGAAGGGGTAACTTTTTGGGATCTCCAACTCTATGGCTCAACAGGGACAGGGACAGTGGGATGGCAGAATAGAGTTCTCTTTCTAGTTTGAGCCTAGTTTTCATTGCTATTCAAGGCCTCTGAGAAAAAACTGCAGGGTATTGTCCTAATTTATATCCTGGATGCCATAATATGCTGTGGTTTCAGAGGTTAATCTAAGTAGGCAGCAATTACTGTGACATCCTTTGGTGCTTCTGAAAGCAACAGGAAAGTGTTCTCATGTTTGTAAGGAATACTGCATTGTGTTCAGTGCTATTGGGGGTATCTGTTCCCCACGTTCTATATGCCTTGATATCCTGAATTCCATAGGGTAGCACCACAGGTGGTAAGATTATAGCAGGAATTGTAATTGTTATAGAAGTTCTGGATTGATATGGAGTGGAAAACTGCAATAAAAAGAATGTGCCCCTTTCAGAGGAGTTTCCATGATGTTCATCATTACGGCTCTTAAGGATGAGCACGTACAGAAATTCTCAAGACTTCCAGAATATTGGAAGTGTATCTTGTGTAGCTAAGGTCATTTTCAGAAATGTTATGGAATCCTGTAGCCTCTGGGATGTTCACCTCAAGGTCACTGCTCTGCAGGCAGGAAAACGAGGATGGAGAAGAGAGGTCTGGCCATTGATACAGCCTTTGTAATCCAGCCAACATTTCTGTTGAGTCAGGTGGAAATGGCTTTCACTGTTTACCTATATTTGCTATCACTCAGGCAAAATCCTCTCCCAGGACATGAGGAGAGAGATAGTGGAATCAACTTAAGAGTTGTCAAACCTGATTTTCCAAAAACAATAGGAAATTCGGACTTTTATTTTGAACCATATTTTGTTAGGCTGGTGCAAAAGTTACTCTGGTTTTGAACTATGATTTTTTTTTTTTTTTTTTTGGTCAGAGTCGTGCTCTGTCATCCAGGCTGGAGTGCAATGGTGCAATCTGGGCTCACTGCAACCTCCACTTCCTGGACAATTCTCCTGCCTCAGCCTCCAAAGCAGATGGGATTACAGGCACCCACCACGATGCCCACCTGATTTTTGTATTTTTAATAGAGATGGGGTTTTGCCATGCTTGCCACGCTGGTCTCAAATTCCTGACCTTGTGATCCACCCACCTCTGCATCCCAAAGTGCTGGGATTAGAGGCGTGAGCCACCATGCTCTGCCACCTGCATGCATTTATTTTCATTCCATTTCCTTCTGGTCTGCAATGTCTTTATGAAAAAATCCATTGATAGTCTTATGAGGAATCCTTTGTGTACACAGCAATTTCCTTTTCTCTTGCTCCTTTAGGTTTTCTCTTTAATTTTTTTAACAATGTGATTATAATAAATCTCATTATGGATCTCTGTATTCATCTTATTTTGTGTCCTTTGCACTTCAGGAATTTGGATTTCTATTCTCTCTCCTGGGTTGGGGATTTTCAGCCATTATTTCTTTGAATAAACTTTCTGGGCTGGGCTTGGTGGCTCACGCCTGTAAGCACTTTGGGAGGCCAAGGTGGGCAGATCACAAGGTCAGGAGTTCAAGACCAGCCTGACCAACATGGTGAAACCCCGTCTCTACTAAAAATACAAAAATTAGCCGGGTATGGTGGCATGCACCTGTAAATTCCAGCTACTTGGGAGGCTGAGGCTGGAGAATCACTTGAGCCTGGGAGGCGGAGTTTGCAGTGAGTCAAGATCGCACTACAGCACTCCAGCCTGGGCAACAGAGAAGACTCCTCAAAAAAAAAAAGATGTTTTCTGTCCCTTTCTGTTTCTCTGCTCCTACTGGAATTTCAATAATGTGTAGTGTTCTGCTTGATGTCCCATAAGTCCTTTGAGTTATCTTTTTTTTGCTCATGTAAATCCAGCACTTTGGAAGTCCAAAGTGGGAGCATCACCTGAGGCCAGGAGTTCAACACCAGCCTTAGCAACTGTCGCAAGACCCCATTTCTACAGAAAAATAAAAATAAAAAAAATTAGCTGGCCATGGCAATGCCTGTCGGTAGTCCCAGCTACCTAGGTGGCTGAGGCAAAAGGATCATTTGGGCCCAGGAATTTGAGGCTGCCGTGAGCTATGCTAACACCAGCGCCCTCCAACTTGGGTGACAAAGCAAGACCATATCAGGAAGGAAAGGAGGGAGGGGGAGAAGAAGGGAGAAAAGGAAAGGGGAAGGACACTGTTGATTATTGTGATTATTTCTTTTTCTTTGTTGTGGTTATTTCATATTCTTTTTTTTTTTTTAAGAAAAGGTGGCCGGGCGTGGTGGCTCAAGCCTGTAATCCTAGCACTTTGGGAGGCCGAGGCGGGTGGATCACGAGGTCAAGAGATCGAGACCATCCTGGTCAACATGGTGGAACCCCGTCTCTACTAAAAATACAAAAAATTAGCTGGGCATGGTGGCGCGTGCCTGTAATCCCAGCTACTCAGGAGGCTGAGGCAGGAGAATTGCTTGAATCCAGGAGGCGGAGGTTGCGGTGAGCCGAGATCGTGCCATTGCACTCCAGCCTGGGTAACAAGAGCAAAACTCCGTCTCAAAAAAAAAAGAAAAGGTTACTATTACAGCATATTTTCACTTAAGAACAAATATGTAGGTAGGATGTGGTAGCTTATTCCTGTAATCCTAGTACTTTGGGAGGCTGAGGGGTTGGATCACTTGAGATCAGGAGTTAAAGATCAGCCCCTGTCTCTAAAAAATATACAAAAATTAGCTGGGCATAAGGGCATTTGCCTGTAGTCCCAGCACTCCAGCCTGGGTGTCAAGAGTGAAACTCCATCTCAAAAAAAAGAAGAAGAAAAAGAAAAATGTTTATATATTGTTTGCTTTTTTTTTTTTTTTTTGAGATGGAGTTGCCCAGGCTGGAGTGCAGTGATGGCTCACTACAACCTCCGCTTCTGGGTTTCACGTTGACCAGAGTGGTCTCAAGCTTGTGACCTCACGTGATCTGCCTACCTTGGCCTCCCAAAGTGCTGGGTTTACAGGCATGCACCACCACGCCTGGCCTATTTTTCAACTTTAGCTATACAAATTGTCTGTGAAACTCAACTGAATCACAATTAGAATTAATGTAAAAATTGAATATTCTTCCCAGATATGACCACTATGTGTAAAAAATGTTTTACTGTAATTTGAGCTTATCAATTTAAACTTAATTTTTAAATGTCAAGAAATGCAAATAAAAACATGGGGGGTCCTGATCAAAAAGCACTGAAAAGATTAAATGAAGAGACATCGTATTACTGGATGTGAAATCTCATTATTGCCAGTAAGTATTATTTTCCAAATTATTTTCTACATTAAATTATAACTAATTCCTCCCCCAAATAAAAAACCCCATTGCTTCTGGAATCCACATAGACTAAAACTCCAAACTTAAAATATTCAGAATATATAAACTCCTATAACTTAACAAAAAGCCAAGTAGCCTAATTAGAAAATGGGCAAAGAGGCTGGGCATGGTGGCTAACTCTTGTAATCTCAGCACTTTGGGAGGCCAAGATGGGTGGATCACGAGGTCAGGAGATCAACACCATCATGGCCAACATGGTGAAACCGCATCTCTACTAAAAATACAAAAATTAGCCAGGTGTGGTGGTGTGCACCTGTAGTCCCAGCTACTTCGGAGGGTGAGGCTGGAGAATCTCTTGAACCCAGGAGGCAGAGGTTACAATGAGCAGAGACTGTGCCACTGCACTCCAGCCTGGGTGACAGTGCAAGACTCCGTCTGGAACAACAACAAAAAAGAAAATGAGCAAAGAACTCGAGTAGGTCTTCTCCAGTGAAGACATACAAACGGCCAACATGTATATCAAGAGATGCTCAACACTAATCAGTAGATAAATGCATATCAAAATCACAATAACATATGTTACCTCACACCCATTAGGATGGTACTAAAATAAGTGTTAAGGGCAGAGAGAAATGGAACATTTGTGCATTCTTGATGGAAATGTAAAATGGTGCAGCCACTATGGAATACTGTAATAATAGGGAAAAAAAAACCTTTGAATTTCAATAAAAGTATGGAATCCTCCTTTGTCCAGAGCAAATCTCTTTCATCAGACTTACCATTATAGAAAAATCTGTACATGTGGTGAATGTGCAAAACGCTTTGGCAAATAATCCTTAATTGCATCAGATAATTTATAGTGGAGACAAACTTTTATCATCAATGCTGGAAGACTTTTAGGTACAGCTCATGTCTTACCTGATACATGTATTGAATGTGGGAAGGCCTTTAACCATGGCTTAACACTATTATCAAATTTCTCACGTAAAAGATAAGCTGTATAAATGTGTACAGTGTGGAAAGTCTTAGTTATGTCTTCCAGCTCATTCAACATGAGAGAATTCATACTTCAGAAACTCTACCATTGTAGTGTATGTTGAAGGCCTGTGTCCACACGTAATCTCTGATTCTCCATCAGAAAATTCATAGTGGAAAGAAAGCTTATGAATGTAATGAATGTGGGAAAGGCTTTAGCTAAAGTTCACATTTGCTCAGCATCAATGGATTTCACATTGTAGAGAAACAATATCAGTGCAATAAATCTTTTAATAAAGACTAAAAGTGTTTGAAAGTCTTTTAGTAAAGACTTTTAGCCTCTTTTTTTTTTATTATTTTTATTTTTTGTAGAGACGGGGTTTCATTGTGTTAGCCAGGATAGTCTCCATCTCCTGACCTCGTGATCCACTCGCCTCAGCCTCCCAAAGTGGTGGGATTAACGGTGTGAGCCACCATGCCCAGCCTAGCCTCTCATTTTTTATTAAACATCAGAAAGTTCATTTTGAAGAAAAATCATCAGAATCTCAAAAATGCAAGAAATCCATCCACCAGTAGGAATCACTGAATCTGCACATCAGAAATCACTATATAGAAACACTGCAAATACAGTCTGTGGGGACACCTTCAGTTACATGTCATCACTATTTCAAGAGAAATACTATAAATGTATTGAATATGGAAAGACCTTCAGCTGTAATTTAAACCTTAGTGTACATTGCAGGATTTATACTAGAGATAAACCATATAAATGTAATGAATGTCAGAAAGCTTTTGGCAAAAGCTCAAATCTTTCAATCAACAATGGAGATAAAACCCTGTTAGTGCAACAGTACAAAAATATTTGGACAATATGAATCACTTAGCATGTAAAAGAAATCCTATAGGAGAGAAACCAAAGGAATGCCATATTTGCTGTAACTTCGGTCATAAGTCCTTCCTGATAAATATCAGAAAACGTGTGGTGGAGAAAAGTGCCATAAACACAGTAAAGATGGGCAGAACTTTAGCAATAGTACAAACCTTATTCTCCATGAAAGGGTTTATACTAGAGAGAAAACAATTATTGCAATAAATGTGGGAAATCCGTTAGCTAGCATGCATCTTAGTTGACATAAGTCAGTCCATGCTGGAGAAAATCGCTATACATGTATG